ATTCGATGCGCCTTGAAATTTTCTACAATTTGGTATATTTGCTTTCTCAATGCTGGATAGATCATCTTATCCGATTAGATCTTTTTTGCAAGTGACCGCGAACTTTCTGCTCAACATAATATTGCCCAAGTCTGGACAACATCATCTCCATAAACCAGTAAGACTTAGTTTTGCCAGCAATAATATCAAAGTATTTAACATATAAATTATGTCTAGCTGTTTGTGAAGACTTATGTAGCAACAAATTTAGCTATTACAAATATCAATATATGCTATTGTATCGATGGTATTGATTCACAAATGTCTGATGTCAAACCATATTATACTAAATATGAAACAAAAGATTGTGAAAGTCCTTGTTAGAGTGTATGTGTGAACGTGGGTGCGGATGTGGGTTATCCCTCTATCAATATTCACATCCACATCTACACACACCCAGATATATCATGTCAAACCATTCATGGTAAATCATCCTGTTGAATTGGTTGCATACCGATATTTATATGCTGCTAAAAAGAACAAAAGAAATCTATTTTATCTATAGAATACTTTTTTTAAAACTTAGTTCATCATCAGTATCAGGCACTGAAGATGATATTGAACGTTCTCGTTTTAAAGGCGGTCGTTCTATTAGTATTTGATCATTATTTGAAGGATAAGATGTTTCTATTGACAATGATATTGGATGAGAAGAAGTACTTCAAAGTATATAACCTTGATGTGATAAAAGTTTATTTTGTTTAATTGAATCGCTTAAGTGTTTTGTTCGAATAAAAATTGATGATAGTGATAATGATGAACTTTTTTTAATACTTTATTTACCGAAACAAAATCAAAGTTCATTATCAATTAAAACAAAAGAATTTTGATTAGTAGGATCAATAACAGTAAGATGCAATTTTATACAAGCTTTATTAAAGATTTCTAAACGACGTTTACCAACTCTCAAAAATGAAATAATTGTTGCAGACAAAGTTTCACTAGTCATTAGTATATATAATAATAATTTGTGAAATAATAAAATTTAATAAAATTTATTGGTTACTGACCAATGTCCGATGATGTCGCTCAAATCTGTTTTAACACATACTGAATTAAATTGCATTTTATACAACAGAAAATGCTATCAGACTCTCTTCTATCATTGATAGGTGTCTTGACAATTCAAAGTCAAATGTCACAAGACAACGAACAAGAAAGTGATAGTTATTCAAATAAGTACACTGCAGCTTGACATACTACAATGATAATAATCGGCGAATCTGTTGCAGTTATCAACAGTCTATGCTTTTTTTTCCTATCACGAAGCTTTTTTGAAAGAACTCTAGATAGAACAAACCTATGCAAATTTAATACTAATTTTTTAATTGTATTCAGACATGGATCGCATCCACAAGTTTAACGTCCGATTCAATCTCAAGATCAGTTATTTACTCCCAAAAAAACTAAAAGGTTTTAAAAAGTCAAAACAAAAGATTGTAAGGTTGACTGCATAATGTGTGCACATAAAGAAGACACTATTGGAAAGCTTCAAAAGTCACAGCGTAATATAAAAAAATAAATGATGTTAAAAATAGGAATGTATCAAGACTGAGACCAAGAGATTTGGTCTCGGTATATGACAAAGTAAGACCTGTTCTCTCGTGACAGATATTATTTGATAATATATCCCGCTGTTCTCTGTAATTGTTTGTATGCAATATCTTTGAAAAATAACAGTACTTATTTACATAGTTTATTTAAGTAAAACATAACAAGTGCATCAAAACAAATTATCATTGCAAAATATAAGAGTGAAAAATAATCTAAAACAGTAATATTTTAATAGTATATACATAGTATACGTAAAAAAAGCATATAATCTCTAATACTAACATTTAAAGATCTATTGATATAAGTTCTACCTTTTGCACGTGATTTATATATTAATGAAGATGCCAGATGTAATGAGTAGAATATTTTTATAAATGTAAAGTAGGCTATCTTCATAAAGTTGCAGTAAAAATATTTATGCAGAATATTTATGATATAAGTTGTTCACCAAGTTCTTTAATGATTTCTTGCTAATATGAAAGAATTAAAAGTATATGATTTATTTTAAAATATTTATTTCCTTACCATCATTTGTGCTTCATTTACATTTTCAAGTATTTTTTAAAACACATCATGATAATTGTTTTTGGACTAATTTCTCAAAGACAATCTTTAAAGAACAAAAGAATAAAATTTCATTTCTTTTTTGATTAAACTTTACTTTCGTGTTAGTTGATAATATTGTTGAAGACAATTTGTCTCATGTAATGGGCGAGCTATTGTTCGATCACCTGGTGACCATACTTTACTGTGAGAATATTCATTTTCAATCACTGTATTATTATTGTTATCTGTTGATTCATTTCAATGAAGAACATTTGCTGATGTTAAATTTAATACAGCAGTTAACATAAGAACTAAATCATTCATATCTTTTTCTTTGAGAGTTCTGAAAGTAATATATAATTAAATCTTTTTGTAATTTTTACTCTTCTTTTTTCTTTTCAATTTCTGATATTAAATTATTTTGTGATGTTGATTATGGTAATTCAATATTTGTTGTTGTCTGATTTTATGATACATTTAGTGTTGAATCGTCAGTTGATGATCATTGTAATTTATTAGCTCGAGGTAGTTGAAGTGCATTAGAATTTGATTCCTAAAAAGAGTATCAATGATGAAATCTTTACAATGAGTTGATATTAGCCTGATTTGAATCATGTGATTATGCTATTCGTGAATTTGATGGAGGTCGGGAGGAACTGGTATCAGATTCAACTGAATTTGGTATTGTGTATCCTCGTCATTGTTCAAGAATTATAGCTATTCTACTTTTCAGATCATGTCTCACAAAAGAAAGAATATATATTTACAGTGACTGGTTGCAAAGCATTATAACTTGATGCACGAATAGGTGATGCATGTTGTTCATCCGACGGTAATGGTTGTTGATATAGTCTTAAATGATTATTCAATTGTAGATCACAATTTCGACGTTGTAATGTATCATTTTGACTAACTTTTGATAGAAATTTCAGATGTTTTTCTTGATCATGCGTTGGTAATGAACTATCTCGATGTGCATGACGATGATGAGATCTTGAACGACTTGTTATTGTTTCAGCAAGTACTACAGATCGATTCTCGTCAGTTGATGATGATGGTCGAGAATGTCACGGTGGTAATATTGCATAAGAAGGAAGAGCTGGTGTATTATTATTAGAAAGACGATGTTTTGAGGGTGAAGGATTAATAGCACTAGAAAAATGACATGGTGAAGATGAAGATGATACAAGAGTAGTACTAACTACAGATTAAGATTTTGAATTAACTTGATTATGACATCTAGTTAATATATATTTAATCAATGAAATTCATTAAGTTATATTTTTACGTCATTTGTGTTTTTTCTAAGAATCTCACTATATATTGTTTCAAATAAGCATTTTGTAAAACATCTTTTGCTGTTGGATGATCATCTGAATTCTCTTTTCTACATTGATGTAACAATAGCAGTGAATGAATCACAATACATTCTCGGTATTTGTAGTGTCTGAATTGCATAGAAAACCTTTATTATAGAAATTTATATTCATAGTAAACCTGTTCAATAATTATTTTAAACTTAAGTAAATTCAAATGATTTGCATTAAATACCTGTTCAAATGTTGCCATTTCATAAACACAACAACCAAGTAACCATATATCCTAATACAATGGTAAGCAATACAATTTAATTCTTTTAAATTAACTACAAATCTTTTGTCCTTAATAATGATAGAAAAACATCCGAAAAAATCATTTATCATAAATTTAAAACATATGACATCATTAGAAACAGAAAACTAGCTGAAAATAACATAAAATCAGTATGATAAGTTATTTTCAATTGAAGATGTTCTTTTGTTTATTCAATAAAAGAATTTTTTCATAACAATCTTTTGAAGATGAATTTAATAATTCTTTTTTAAATTCATTTATTGATATTTCTTGTTTAGCAATTAAATCTTCATAAAGTCTTTGTGATGGTTGTGTTACATTACGAAATTCATGCATACGATGAGGATTTGATCAAATTACACGTTTACAATGCAACATTGTGATAAAAAAACAAGGATAATATCTAAATAGTTACCAATCATCCCCGCTAAAGCAGTAACAACAATTGACTATTATGCAGTTATTGCTATACGCATTTCTTCTTTAGTTTAATTGAATGCTAATTGAAGTGATGAGAATAAATGTCATTTCTTATTTTCTCGAAAATTAACACAAAAAACGGTTTAAGAAAAAATGCCCATAGATTGAATTTGCAGCTTCTTGTTCACGTGGTCGAGCTTCGGCGATAAATGTAGCGAAATATGTTTCGAATATTGTTTTCAGTTCATTAAATTCTTCTAGTGCAAATACTTCAGCAAGTTTATGTTTGTTCATTAAATCGACGAAATTGTATTTGAATGTGATTAAACTATCAACTAAAAAAGTCCATAATATCGCTATGATGCGTAAAAGTCCTGACATTTTTCTTCACATAGGAACAATGTGAGCGAATGAAGACTAATATTAAATTCATTGACTTTATATGATAAAAATAAATAAAACTGTTGGTAAGTCGTTTTGTCGATAGACTTGTCAAAGAATAATTTATATTGATTTTCATTCAGTTCATGATTGGTTAATTTTTCTTGAAATATTTTATTAATGCAAGTGTCATCATATCGATGTGGTTTACCGGGTAAACCATCTAAGTAATTATGCAATTCCTAGAAAAATATGAAAAAACCATCGTATTACTAAGCAAAAAGCCGTTCTCGACTTGATACATGATCTGCTTCTACTAACTGTATTTGGTTATTCTTTGAGCTCGTCTTACCTCTGATAATGGAGTTAATAAATGCAAGATCTAAATGAGTGACCTTCGATACGTGTTTACTCAAGAATCACTTTGATAGTGTTAAAATTTAGAATCTCTAGAAATATGGGTACTGTTTTATAAGAACTCTTCAAGCTAATGACGTGATAGAAGAACTGATTTTTCGAATCTTCACTGTTATTAAAATGATGAATAAAAAGGATCGATTGTCAGATGTTTAGTCAGAACAATATTAATATGAAATATATTGAGCAATTTTTTTAATAAAAAATATACCAGCACCACTTTAGCAAGTTACAAGTTCTGATTATAATCCCATCGGAACCATGTTGCAGTTACCTAATCAACTGACTCAAGGTTTGCGCATAATAGAATTTCATCAGATTAAGAAAAAATAAAAGTCTTCAAGTCAAATTGAGCGATTAATTTGTAATGATTCATCTAGGTGCAAGATGGTTAAAAGTAAACTGCATACCTAATTTATTAAGCAAACTCTGCATTTAACGAGGAGAACAAAGAATCCCGCATTAATAAACTTCATAGTAACTAATCGATTGGGCATGAGTCGTACATACGACTTATTAAGAAATTTGTATACTTACTTTTTCGATCCAAGGTTAACTAAATTTATTTTAAATACAAATTTCTAACAATATGATTTTTTTGCGTTGTCACGCTGATGTAGATTGCCAGAAATGCATGCTGATCATATTATTTCATCTCGAGGGTATCTGTATTCTTACGGCACTTAACGAGTTTCATAATGTACCTTCTAAAGAGAACGAATAAGTTCTCTGTAATTATTTATTGTGATCGATAGTCATGCTTTAACGTAAAAGAGAAAAAATCGATTGAATAACTAAAACTAAATAACTACCTTTATTTGTATGGTGACGAAGCAAAATTTATTCGCATATATATATATGATGTGTGCGAGCAGACGGCTCGCTTACATTCCCAAAGAAGTATACAAACTCTATAATATTGCACTTTTTCGGACGAAACAGTTATAAAATATGGCAAGCACCGATTCCACACCGGATTTTCGATTAGCAAGAGCACACGGAACTGTCATGGTATTTTCTTGGATGGTTTTTGCTTCAACTGGAGTTTTATATGCGCGTTATGGTCGTAAGGTACGTGTTAATGAAAAGAAACAAATATTCGGTGAAGATATTTGGTTTCAAGTACATCGATTTTGTCTAATAATAGCTGTCATTGGGACATTACTAGGTTTTTTTCTCGTTTTGGGACAAGCGAACGGTCGATGGGTCGATCAGGCTGAAGATGGTGATCGCATGTTTGCTCATTCAATATTGGGTGCAATTGTTGTAGGCTGTGCACTTATTCAGGCATGGATGGCTTTATTTCGCTGCCATCCAGGAGATCGTTTTCGCTTCGTTTTCAATTGGATTCATCGAACAACTGGAATGTTAGCTCTTATACTTTCGGTACCAACGATTTTTCTTGTCGTTTTTGTACTGTTAAAGTATCATGATGGTTTTGTTACTATAATGTCACTTTGGTCGGCTTGGATTGTAATTATTTTTATCATTTTTGAAGTGGTGGAATATCTAATTCGATCGAAATCATCTACTGTAAACGCCAAAAATGACCAGGATGGAATGGAACATGAAATGAACAATGAACATTCAGCATCGACTACAGATGGAAAACAAGTTGAAGTAACTGACATTAGTCCTTTTGGCACGCTGAAACTCATTTTATTTATTCTTAATTTTTGTTTTGCTATCAGTCTTGTAATACCATTAGTTGCTCTGATCTGGTTACAAGGCTAATTAGTTTTTTTTATAATGTTTTCAAGAATGTTAAATTTAGTTTTCTATCATGTGGATGTGAGTTAGAGATCGAAGCGGATGACAAAAATTCCATGTTATTCGATTTGTCTGAATAAAATTTACATTCGATTCGACTCGATTCGATCTACCTTTTAAAAATCTTCATTCAATTCGATTCAGTTCGATTCTGGTTGTATTTGAAAACACATGCTATGTATTTTCACATGCTATAGCTTTTTTGACAATGTTTTTCTCCTGACAATAAGAGTTGCTTATCGATTGTCTCCATAATCTTATGGTTTGGATACGATTTTCGAATATACAGGTGTAGGGTGTTCGGAAAAGGTAGCAAGGAACACTCACGAAAAATAAATATTGAAACGAAAAATTATTAAAAATAGGAGGGCTTACAGTAAACGGTGATTGTAACCGTTTATTTTGAGTGTGGATGTGGGTGTGTGTAAAGAAGATCCACATCCACTTTTTAGATTTGAATAAGCGAAAAATTTCATTTTCCTATTGAGGTTTGTTTATAAATAACAAATCTATCACTTAAAGTAAGAGAGCTCGTTTAAGGCCTTCCCCGCTTTCAAAAATCGATCTCAACCTAAGTATATCCAAATCCCATGACATTTTCAGAGTATGTTGAGGCTGTAGTGGAAAACCTATAGTAAAATTTCCAGTCATATAGTATAACGTTTGAGCGAAATATTCACAAAGCAAGGGTAAAAACTAGCTCATTTGGCAACCCACATTTTTCTATTCAGGATCATTCTATACATTTATCTACTTTTTGTTAGAAAGAGCATGTCAGGCTGCAAGGCATCAAAGATCCCTTTTTTTTTAATTCTTACTTTTGAAGCGGAGAAAGGGTATCACAAGTTTAATGACTCAAAAAGCACTAAAAAGTGGTGCTCTAATTATATAGGTGTCTGTATATATTATAAAAATAAAGATGAACTTAAAAAAATGGCTCTTTGGTACTCTGCGTCTTGGCACTCTGTCAAACAAAAAAAACGAAAGATATAGAATGAGCTTGGGCAGAGAAATTTGAGTTGGGCAATTGAAAAAGCATAAACTAACAAAAAAACGAAACACATTTTTCATTTAATCTGAAAAATTCTTATTTTTCAACGGAAATCATCAAAAGCTTTGAGAAAAAGGGCGTATCAAACAAAAGATTATATTGTTTCTGAAAGATTAGATCTCAAGCTGTCCTCCCATGCATTTATCTCAATTTGGATGATTCTGACGAAAATGGACTTTTTTGAAGGGGACTTAAGTCTTTTCTCTATCCAAATTAAAAGATAAAAAAGCTAATTTTTCCGTGAAGGCGATTGATGAACCAACTGAGTACTGGATTCTTCTTCGTTTACTGTTTGTTATATTTGTGATGAAATTATCTTAAGATCCATACACATTAATTGACTCAAACTGTTCCATCACTCAAGAAACTTGACCTTACAACAGCAGGTAATGTACATGATTCTTTTCCAATTACATCAATATCAATATTGGTGACAATCGATATAGCCGATGTGGTGAACAAAAATCATCAACTAACCAATGACAAACAATTACTCTCAACTTGCTCGAAATCAAATCAGAATTACAAAATTACTATATAAATTACTCATTATCTTCCATAGATATTGTGACATGGATACTAGCTAGAAAATATTTGCTTCGCACAACCACTCTTACCGCCTTCTGTTCAGCGCCAAACTTCATTTTTAAAAGACACGACAAATATTAGAACGTTCAGATCTAAAGTTCCATCCTGTAGCTGCACTATGATAACCTAGTCCGAGTCAAACTCAATTATTTTTAATCGCAGCTTCAGCAATACAATAATCTTTTAAGCATTAAATATTTTCCTCCGCAAGTTGAAATAATAAATTTTGATTTCAAGACAAAAGATGTTAGGGAGAGACAACTGTTTTCTCAATAGCTATGGGATCAATTCTATTACTCAGTATGTATTTCTATCAATCTCATTTCTGTTCATCTTACCAATTCCTTTAATACCTTTTCTAAGTAATTAAAACTGAAAAAACTCAACTTAATCATCATCTTTTAGATAAGTCTGTTTACTCTTACAAGACATTACAAGCAACTTTAGCTAAAAGGCTTTATAGAGAAAAATACACTGACACTCAAGCCAAGATCGAGTAGAGAAGTCTACTACTGTACCTCGTGCAGTCAGCCGACGTATTACTTTTTAGTCACTTAGTTGCTTTGCCGAGCATGTTTCTAGGCATTTAAGACTTCATTGTGAACAATTTTTAGTTGTAACAAACTATAATTAAAATATATATGTATTTAGCATCTAAGATATCAGTGGTCGGTTTTAGATTGAATAATGCATCATCATATAAAGAAAC